ACTGCCTCGGAAACCCAAGGAGGGGTTGCTATGAGTCAGAGCCGACTCAATGACAGTGAGTTTGGTTTGGTTTTTTTGGAAGTAGCTGAAAGGTCTCCAAAAAAAAAAAAAATCCATCAGCCTGCTAGGAATTAATTCCTGATCTTATAATTATCTTTTAATTTTGAAACTCATGCAGCATATAATTCTTTACAAAATCTTTTAATCTGTAACAATGGAATTCAGACTAGTGGTTAAGTGCTCGACTGCTAACTGAAACGTTAGTGGTTAGAACTCATCAATTGCTCTTGGTAGAAAAGTATGGCAGTCTGCTTGCATAAAGATGACAGCCCTGCAAACTCCATGGGGCAGTTTTCCTTTAGGGTTTTATGAGTCAGAATCGACTCGACTACAATGGAAGTACACACTGAGAAAAGCCCTGGTGGTGCAGTGGACAAGCAGTCAGCTGCTAATGGACAGGTCAGAAGTTCAAACCCTCCAGCCTCTCTGTGGAATAAAGGCGCAGCAATATGCTTCTGTAAAGATCTGCAGCCTTGGAAATGCTATGGGACAGTTCTACTGTCCTATATGGTTGCTATGAGTCAGAATCAACTCAGCCACATGTGTGGTTTGGAGTAAACACTGAAAGAAGCCCTGGTGGTGCTAAGCTCTAGCCTGCATAACCAAAAGGCTGACAGATAGAATCCACCAGTGGCTCTATGGGAGAAAGACCTCATGATCTGTTCCCTTAAAGATTACAGCCTAGAAAACTCTATGGGGCAATTCCACTCTGTCACATGGCATCACTAAGAGTCTAAATCAACTCGATGGCACTCAACAACCACAACAGTATACACTGAGCATGCCACAAAAGACCTTTCTGTATAACAGACAGCAGTCTTTACACGTTAACTTGGCTTCACATTTTTCAATGCTCCCTTTTCCATCTACATCTCATAGTTAACAATTAATGCTCCTTTCTTCCATTATTAAGCAGCTAGTTTCCATATCTTAGGTTATTCTCTCAGAATCTGTACTTTAAATGTTTTATGGCCCACACTACCACAATGTGCAACATCCACAGTCACAAAAAGCCAAACAAGTCTTTTTTTCCTGCTCATAACTCAAACTACACCAATTAACTGTCATGTTGCATTCATTTGTCGTATGCTTCAATACTAGTTAATATCTATTAGTAATCTACTGATTGACCAAAAAAAAGTTCAACCTTGACTCTGCAGTGAAGTTTTGGTATGGCTACTCTTAGAGCTTTGTAACATGTGCGTACTCAAATACTGCGAACACTTAACGTATAAACACATAAAAGAATTAAGTTGCTCCACATAAAAGCAAACTGACCTTTCTCATTAATTTCTCTTTCATACAAAACTTACCATGAAAGAAATCTGGACAGAGATATATTATGAGAAGTTCATTTACAACTGATTAATTAAGTGAAATAAATTCATTGTTATCTTGAAAATTTTAATCTGAACTAAAGTAGCTAGTAAAAATACTATAAGCTAATACTTGTATGGGAGCTCTGGTAGCATAGTGGCTAAAGCACTTGATTGCTAACCAGAAGGCTGGCGGTTCAAACCCACCAGCCACTCCTCAGAAGGAAGGTTGGGCAATCCTACTTCCGTAGTGATACTGCCTTGGAAACCCAAGGAGGGGTCGCTATGAGTCGGGGCCGACTCGATGGCACATAACAACAACAACAACAACCACAACACTTGTATAGCAGTAGCTATGTGCCAATTATTGTTCTGGCCACTTTTATCCATGTGAACTTATTTAACCAGTCCAATAATCCTTAGATAGGTAACATCATTGTGACCATTTATAAAGATGAAATTGAAGTTTGGAGAAGGAAAATGACTTGCTCAAGCCATAGAGGCACTAATTGGCAGAGCCAGGATTTGAACCAAGTTAGACTGGCACCAAGGAGCTATGGTGGCACAATGGCTAAGCATTAGGCTGTTAACCGAAGGTTGGTAGCTCGAACCTACCAGCCACTCTGAGAGAAAGATGAAGCAGTCTGCTTCCATAGAGATTTATAGCCTTGGAAACCCTATTCGGGAGTTCTATCTGTCCTAGAGGGTCGCTATGAGTTGGATTCGATGGGAGTGGGTTTAGTGGGTTTTTGACTGGTGCCCTGGGTGACCAACATTTTGCGCTAGTCTAATAACCTAAAGGTTGGCAATTCTAACTTGCCCAGCAATATCATGGAAGAGGAGGCCTGTCAATGTTTTCTATTAAGGTTTCATCCAAGAAAACCCTATGGAGCAGTTCCACTCTGCTAACAGGTAAAGTAACCATGTTGGAATCAACTCAATGGCAACATGTTTTTTGTTTTTTTTTTAAAGACTGGCACTAGAGTCTATGCTCTTTACAATGCTATTCCTTGTAGAAGGCCTTGGACACTTGAAAATTTGTAAATATAATTATTTTATATAAAAGCATATAAAAATTTAACATAGATACATTAAATTAGAAATATATTGAGTAGCTCCTAAATAAAAAGTTCTCCCCACACAAGGAAGTTAATTCTATCTATGGCTGACTTACCTTCTATTATACCTATAATACTAGCTGCTACAGTTTTAAAATTATACAAAGAATTGCCAAAGACACACTATTTGTTCAAATCACTAAGCGTGATTATTGTCTAAAAGATTATATGGCCATGAAGACTTACCTTAAAATAAATGCTAATGTTTTAAACTTGAATCAAAATAAGCTCAAATACTTAAAAAGTGCTATTACAAATTAGATTTAAAGAAATTATAGAACAAATCTGTATTTTTATATATAAAATCTTCTAGAATTTTTTAAAATGTTTCTTGACTACTTAAACAAGAAACCTGTTACTTCTAGAAGAGAAATCTCCTAAATATTTTGAAAGTATTTTTACGACCTACCTCTCCATGATTGAAAAAGAAGCATAACACTGTAACCAGGCCTCCTAATCGGCTGCCACTGGAAGAGAGGGTAAGAAAATAAAATTCAGTAACAGAAATTTGGGTCACACTGATAAAATCTTAACATAACATAACCTACAAAATGTTAGCCACACTTGAACTCTACTATACTTGTTAACAAAATAGTGGGTCCCCCCACCCAAAGTAGCATTAGTCAAAATAAGTTTCATTTTTAAGAAATCATTTTCCACCTTCAAAATGTGCAGGCTCAGAGAAGCACACAAACTAACACCGAAAAAAAAAATATTTGTCAATTTTATGGTGCCTCATGCAGTTTGTTTTATCTTTTATTTGTGTACTCAGAATTCCTCAAACTGTTTTTCTTTCTTTTTATTTTTTTTTTTTTAATTGTAATTTGAGTGAAGATTTACAGAGCAAATTCACTTTCCATACAGCAGTTCACATATACTTTGTCTCATGTCATGGACCACAGTTTACCACAATGCAACAGCT